TTTTTTTATAAATGAATTCTATTTCTAAAACTAACCAATCACTTTCTTTTCCTCAACAGCACAAGTACCAAAAGGAGATTGAGCGGCTGGAGAAGGAGAACAAGGAGCTGCGCAAGTCGCTCCTCCTCAAAAGCGGCGCCGACAAGACGGCCGTCGAGCGCCTGAAGAAGGTCAACAAGACGCTAATTGACCTCTACTCGGAGGTACTGGACGAGCTGAACGAGTTCGACACCAACTACAACACCCAGGACCACCTGCCTCGCGTGATAGTGGTCGGTGACCAGAGCGCCGGCAAAACCTCGGTCCTCGAGATGATCGCCCAGGCACGGCTCTTTCCCCGAGGTGCCGGCGAGATGATGACCCGCTCGCCGGTGAAGGTGACCCTGAAGGAGGGCCCCTACCACATTGCCCGCTTCAAGGACTCGAAGCGGGAGTTTGACCTGTCGAAGGAGAGCGAGCTGGCCGAGCTGCGGCGCGACATTGAGATTCGCATGAAGTCGAAGGTGAAGAATGGGCGGTCGGTGAGCAAGGACGTCATTGCGCTGACGGTGGAGGGCCCGGGCATTCCGAGGATGGTCCTGGTGGACCTGCCCGGCGTCATCAGCACCGTCACCACGGAGATGGCCGCCGACACGCGGGAGGCGATTGAGGAGATCAGCAAGGCGTACATGAACAACCCCAATGCCATTATCTTGTGCGTCCAAGACGGGTCGGTGGACGCTGAGCGAAGCATCGTCACCGACCTGGTCGCCCAGGTGGACCCGCACGGCAAGCGAACGATCTTTGTGATGACGAAGATGGACCTGGCGGAGAAGCACATGGCCAACCCGAGTCGACTGAAGAAGATCCTCGACGGGCGGCTTTTCCCCATGAAGGCCCTCGGCTACTTTGCCGTGGTGACGGGCAAGGGCGGCAAGGACGACACCATTCAGACGATTCGCGACTACGAGGAGGACTTCTTCAAGAACAGCAAACTCTGTCGGCAGGGCATCCTCAACGCGTCGCAGTGCACCACTCAGAGTCTCAGTTTGGCCGTTTCAGACTGCTTCTGGCAGATGGT